GTCCCTGTGCAGCAGGGGTTATGGCCAGCTGTGCTGAAGCGGTACCTGCTCCAGGATTGACTCTGACCTGCTAGAGACACACGATTTTACTGTCACATTAATATATCAGGCTTTTATAAGTTTTTGTGGATAGTTACTAAAAAAAAAAAAAGTTAGTCATTGTAATGTGTTGATTACTCTTAAAATTCTGTTAATAGACTTCATAATACTTTATGTAAATCTTACGAAATAAAAGATAGTAGATGCAGTGATTTCCACTGCCTTTTTGGAAAAGTTAGTCTCTTTTTGCCTTGAAGTACTTGTCATCAAAGATTCCCATCATGTCTGAAGTTTGTTATCTCTGCCTTTCTGCATAGTTGATCAATGCAAAAGGAGAGTTCTTAATACGGATTTTCTGTCTTTTTTCTTTTTAGCATTTTAGAAAGAACAATTAGAGCAGCTGTGGAACAGCACCTTTTCGACCTGCAGAGCAGCTTAGATAATGATCTTAAACATATACAGCAACACAGACTGGGCTGTAACAATGAAGCAAAAAATCCCAGCGGGGATGAGGAAGGATCTAACAACCAGTAAGATGATTTTTTTGTATCTGTAATGAATTCCACAGGATTATGTATTTTAACTCTTCCAAAACAAACTACCCCAGTCCCTCACCTCGACCCAAAGCAAAGTTATGACTTGCTATTAACTTCAGTTTATCTCATGGTTAAACCAAATCAGCTTCCATCAGTTGCCAGTAATCAACAGCCCTTGAAGCAAATACTTTAAATAGATCTTATAGCTAAAAATGTTGTGAAGTATAACTGCTTTGCTGCTGAATTCTGTGCAAGTAGCACAAGAACTTATATTTACCCTAGTGCTTTCATTCTTACCTCACTGATGTTACTTAAGACACAGGTTTACCATATGAAAGCTATTGTAGGTGCTGCTTCAGTTTCTTTACCCCACCTTTCCACGTCACCATAGCTATTTTACTGCTCTGGCTGCCAGTGTCAACAAAACAGCTAAAAATGGATAGAATGAGCACTGTGAGTTTATTTGCATAGAGTTTCAGCCGTATTTAATCAGCTTTTATTTTTATTATAAATCTTGCTAGGTTATGGGTGTAGTGATTGCCATGGCAGCATCGAGAAGTTGGTACGTTTTGGCGCTTTATTAAAAACAAATGGTCATTATTAATACCTGAACTCCAAAAATGTGTAGTTAAGTAAGACTTAAATATGTAAATTCCTTTGTGGCTCAGGGCCTGAAATACGTGAAATATTCAGAGACTCAAATGCTGTTTTCTAAATTGTTCATTCTTCACTGGTTTTAGAAGTCTTATCTGTGACAAGAGGTCAGGCTAAAGTTAGCAGTTGATCACAGAAATAATAATCGTTGCTGGTAATGATCAATTAAAACTGAGTTTTAGTGTTAGAGATTTAACATCTTTGAAGTAATTTGTAAGTGGGTAATCACCTGAAAGACCTGTTGTAGCTGAATGCCTTCGGTTGCACCATAAGTGCTTTAAAGGCTGGCTGACTTCACAGAAGCAGTGGCTGAAAGTACCATCACTGCAGGTTTGAAACCAATATACTTTTCTGGCATGGTAACTATTTCAAATGCTTCTGATCATCGTTCCACTGTGGATTAACCGTAATAGAGGATACATGATAGTGTTCTTGAAAGAGGTCGTCTGGGTCCTTTAAAGCAGTGCCGCCAGCAGACTATGTGCAAGGCAAATACACGGTTAAATGAATAACTAAAAAAAAGCAGTGATCCAGTCTGAATTCTTAGAACTAACTTAAAATAATTGCCAGAATTAAGGAAAAAAAAAAAGGATTAAAATGTTAATTTCTGAACAATCCTGTTTCGTATCTGTATATCTGATAGAGGAGGAGCATTTTTTAAAGTAGTTTGGAATTCTTTGTGAGCAAGGAAGTCAAAGGCTTGTGATGAACTTACAGAATCATGTGGTAACAGTGACAGTGTAATGTAAAGAATATATGGACATAAATACAGTATAAGTTAGTTTTAATCTGGTTGTACTGTTACAAGCCTTGAGTTGAATTCTGGGAAGATTAAATATTAGAAATAATGGGATTTCTCGCTGGCAGGGAATGTAGTGATACTAGCTGTAAACTAGCTGGCTTCAATATTGAGAGGAGCGTAGCCACAGCAACTTCATCGAGTCGCGGTAGTTTCAATATGTCATTGCTTCTGGCTGTTGACACTTCTGTTCCTCAGGTCAGCATAGTAAATGGGGGATGTATGCCTGACCCTTAATACAAGAATCAAATAAATACACTTTAATATGTCTATCACATACTGTTGTAGAAAACATCAGAAGTATAAATAATTCAATTTGCCTACAGGTGATTGAAGTTGTAGATATTACCAGTATCTTTAGTCAGAATAATTTTGTTGGGCAGAAGAGAAGAACCAAACCCCTGATGTTTGATACTGTTGAAGGAAAAAAAAAAAAAAAAAGGCTGGGGTGGTGGTTTTTTTTTTGTGTGGGGTTTTTTTTTTTTTTTTTCCTTTTAAAGGTGGAACAGCAAGTTGCTAAAATCTTTCTGTTCTTATCTTCAGGAATGATGTTATTGAAGATAATGACACTGGTAGCAGTGAGAACAGAGGAGACTGCTCTGAAGTATTAGTTTGCACTGATTTAGACAGTGAAGCTATGAAACATGATACTGTAACTGAGGAAGAAGAAAGCGTTCAGGTGAGACGAAGAGCCTCCTGTATATGAAAATCATAAATTGCTGTGACTTTAGCAAAGTGCTTTAGAGATCCAAGTTTTCCTAATAGCTCTGATGTAGCCTTACACGGTGCTGTTGCTCTGTGCAGTTAATTGCTTTCTGTGCTGTGCACATTTCATAGACACGCACAGGGAAATTTTTGTGTACTGTGGTGCAACTTGTTTGGACCCTGACTGATGTTTTTCTCTTGGTCTTTCACAGGTACCAGCCCTTTCTTCTGCTCAGGTAGGTCAGTGTATCAGCAAGCATAGCACTAGTTAGAATAGCATCTGTGTTAGTGAAGTGTTCTTGAGGAGCAGAAGATCTAAAGCTGCGATCGTAGCATATTCCACAGTTCGTCACACCTTTTACTGTGTATCAAGAAAGGGTAGAAGTAACAGTCACCTTGAGACTCTGCAGCCTCTTGACTGTGCTTGTGCTAGGAAGATGTGGCTTTGTAATTAGCCGATTACAGCCTTTTCTCACCGTTACCAGTTTCTTTTGTGGTAGACATAGCTGTCCAGTTCTTTTCAACACCTCTTCATCTCCTTTCTAGTTGAAAGAGGTTCTGTTACTTCTCCTTGGACCTCTTTACTTAGATATCCGACTTTGCTGTGCTGATAGCTCGTGTCCCTCCATACTGATGTGTTCACTTAGAATTCTTACACTTGAGGTGTTCAGCAAAAGAAAAATTAAAGAAAATTAGACTTGCAACCTTCTGAAGACGTTCAATACTTAATATTGCCACCTTGAAAAGTATCAGGGTTGACCATTTGTATTTCAAAGCAGAAAAGTCTGCATGAGCATGAGCTCATACATGAGCTCATATGCATGAGCACATACTAGAATGTGATGCTAACATGCTTGCAAAAATAAAATACTTAGTTGTATTTTTAAAAAAATGGTTTGGTCAGAAAATATAATGTTAATGATACTTGGAGTTGCTGTTAAAGTTCAGAAAGCAACTGAAAATGTAAACAACAAACCACAGGATGATTGGGTGTCATACATTTAATTTTTGCTTTGCTTTTATATATTATGCTTGAATTGAACTGCTTTGTGTCACTGAAAGAAGGAAGTATTGTATGCAGTTTAAATAGAAGCACAGTATTGTAGCAACTGTAAATGTTGAAATAATTGTTTGCCCTATAAAACAAACATGCCTCAGCTTTGCTCTGAGCTGCAAATTACTAGATCTTCACATACAATCAAATGTGAAGGTTTGTAGTATGTGTGGCCTGAATGTGTAATGATGGCCTGAACTGTACCGGCATTTTTTATTAGTGAGCAGACATCACTCTCTCATTCGGAGTATCTTTATGCAATGAAGCAAAGCTGTAAAATATGTGCTGACAAAAATGAAATCAAGTATAACAGTAATATGCAAGAGAATATAGTTTCTACGGCTCTGTATGAAATAGCACATATGCAGCTGTCAAATCAGTGCTTCTAATGAAAAATTCATATCTGTAGTACCTTGTTTATTTGGTAAAACTTTTGTTGTCATAAATCTAAATGATGAATTCTGTGGGTAGAGAGATTTGCTATACGTGTGTAGAGAACTTTCTACAATGGTTTTTAGCTTCTTGCCTGTGAGTCCATAAATCTTTCTGAGGGTTTCCTGAAAGATAACTGGATAAGCAAACCTATTGTTAGTAGAATTAAATTAACTAGAAGAATTTAATGGGCCTGTGAACTTGAAAAGATAGAAATGGATGCCTTAGCATAGTGAAACTGCAAGTCTTGTCTGGAATCTATGAGTTTATTAAAACAAAATGTTGCCATAGCGCTTTTCACTATTGTAATGTGTTCTTCTCCTAGCCTTCTGTTTGCTTGCATGGATCCCAAATGACTCTCTTGAATCACTGAACAAGCCAAATTTTTCAGTTGTTCCCACTAAACTAGCACATGAATTTACAAATGGGATTCTAAAACAAAATTTCACAGGACGTATTGATTGCCCAGGTTCTTCCCTGATGCATTAGTGCCAAATCTTGTTAGAAAAAAACTATTAGATTCTTATCCTATAGTGCAAAATGCATAAAACATGGTGCAATTAGATGATATTTTATCCAGTTCAGGTGAATGCTATGTTTGCAAGAACTCTTTTGAAAGTACAGGGTAGAGTTCCATATTTCTGCCATAAGTCTTTTTCTGACTGCCTATTGTAAGTCATCTTTTATTTGTAGTAGTTGGTTTAGGTTTTCAGTCTTTTGACAAGGAAAGCCCTCAAAAGCAATAGAGTGTGAGTTTCTCGTTAACTCCTAACACTTTACTTCCTCCTGACTTCCCAGTTAAAATACATGCTGAGCTTTAGAAATCAAAACTCAGAAAGTACAAATGTAGATGGAGAAACAAAAATTGCAAATTGGTGGCTTTTCTGTGCATTTTATGCAGTTTCAGTTGTTTCAAAGAGCAGCTGAGAAATGTGAATTACGCTCCTTATGAAGTATGCACACTTCTGAGTTCCAACTACGTTCCTGTGCTAAGAATATAAAGGGGAACATGATGCTTGGGAGCACACGGTCATGTATAGATGCGCTTTTGTTGTCATACCTGATGTTGTTCTTGGCCTCTTTTGCTTTCTGATACATTTCTGTCCATTGATAGCAGTGGTAAGGTGGCATTCTGGGATGAAGTTTTGCTTTTTCAATATTAGTTTCTATATTCTTGTTAATACACAACTTCAAATATTACTGGAGAGTTGTATCTTTCGGGGAGATGTTAAAGGGAAATATACCAATTCTTTGGTATGAAAGGAGTTTGAGAGGGGCATGTGGGGTTGTAGGAGATGAAAAATGTGCATGTGAGTTCTCCTTTGGGTCTGAAATGGAAACAGAAGCACCTGTTTCCACAACTACAGTAAGTGTGACTATGCAAGACTTGCACAGCTCCTCTCCAGGGTGGAAATTATCTGCAGGAGTATGACAGATGCACTGTAATTAAAAATTGTTTCCCCAAATTGGAATTTGATTTGAGGACTGAAAGAATGTAAACAGAATAATGGAGTTTTGTCTGATAAGGGTGAATATAACTGTCAGCAGTGTAGAACTGGCAACTGTTGTGTATATTTGAACTCTCCAGGTAACTATTTTGTATTCAGACATTTTAAAGATCATTTGTGAGAACTTCTTGAAGTCTGAAACCAGATGTAATCTGTTATTTTAAAATGACATATTATATATTTCAAATTTCAAATTTCTTGAATTCCCCCAAATAAGACGCTTTGTGAAGAAATCAAGTACTGAGCTTGGGTGTAAATGCTTAAAGTAGTCAATCTTCCTGTGCCAACTTTTAGTGAACAAAATGGTGACATGTATTCATCTGAACTCGTTTTGTGAGATGGTGTCATAGAAATGCCAGCATTTCTTCATCCCCTTCCAGTTCTGTTGCTGCTTTATTTAGTAACAGGGATTAGTAGCTCCTTTTAGAAAGTCTGTCAGACTTGTTTCATTTCATATATGCTGAGCACAAGTCTACATCCAACTCGGTTATTTTTGAGATAGGATATACTTACTGCCATGATTTTAGTCACTGCAAACTTCATGCTATGATTGACAATTAGCAGAAGAACCGTTGGTGTTAATATTTAAAAGTAGTAATAAAAAGTGGTTTGGCTGAAGATGGAAAGTAATTGTCTGTCTTCTGGTGATTAAAACACCTGGTTACTGGCCTTACTTTAGATGTAAAAATATTGCATGATTAAAAAGTATGATTTCCACCCCACACAAAAAGCTCTGCTTCTAGTTCTTGAGGTTTTTTGTGGTCAGTGACCATTATAGAAATGTTTTCAGCTGAGAATGCCATTCCCAAATCTTTCTAAACATACTTTTTGCCAACAGACTGCAGACATATTATTGAAACCGTGTGATAAAGATGCAGATATTGATGGAGAAAATAATAGTGAAAGGTATGTATTTTTCTTTTGTCACTTACATGGCGGAATGTGTAACTTCAGTTTTGAAAAGTGTACCAAATGGGTGACTTGTGACAACACAGTATAGCATAAGGCAGGTGAAACTAAACATACAACTTTTCATATGTGAAAACAGAGAGGATAAGCTGGAGTTCATAGAATAGAATCGTGGAATCATTTATGTTGGAAAAGACCTTTAAGATCATCCAGTCCAACCATTAAAGAGTTACCTTTTTATGATGATATAAAAGGTATGGAACTTTATGCACTTATAAGAGAAAATAAGTACAAACCTCTGTGATATATATCATGGGGTTTTTTGTGAACAACCCTATGTTCCGGGCAAGAGAAATAAAAGAAAAAGTTACTGTCTTTAAAATATTTTGGCACATTTTATTGCTCTTAATGATTGAAGAATTAATGCTGGTAATAGTGATTAGCCGGAAAACTTTAAGTTCATTTACAGTTTGAGTTCAGCACTGATTGAAAATTCAGTTTGAGTTGAATTGAGTTTTAAAATATTTACTCCCAGTTCGAGAATAAAGGTCTGAGCTGTTTTTATTTCCAACTTGATTCAAGTCCAGTTGTTGTTTACATGCTTCAGCTTGGAATTCTGTGTGAAGAGCAAAGGGGAGGTGTGGGGGGGGAAAGTAGTGTAACTTTTGCTCCCCAGGATTTTAGTTATCACTTTACGGAATTGCATTGCATATCTGCTAAAACTGGACTGGTGTATATACAACTGAAATGTAAAAGGAATGTATAGTATTTACTGTCCATTAAGAACTTGTATTTAAAATGATAACTAGGTCTATCTTCTCTTTAGGCAAAATAGTATACTGCTTGGTGGCAATGATAGAATATCTTCAGAGATGTTTCTGGTAAGATTATGATTTCATTTATATACAGATACACGGCATCTTATAAACTTACATGAAATACAGATTTGAAGAAAAACAATAATTTCAGCTTTAAACATCTTAGGTTGGTTGGCCTGCTGCAAGGTTTGCAAAACCTCTGTTAGAGATCTCATCATCTCGCTTCACAGAAACTTTTGGCAGCAGAACAAGCTTATACTTACGCATCTTGTGTAAGGAATGTTTTGTAATGCAAATAATTGAATACTATTGCGGGAGGGAAGCTTGTTTATAATTCCTTGAGTTAAGAAAGAAGATTTCCCCCCCCCCCAAAAAAAATTTCGAGAAATGCTGGAACTGGCACTGATTAGGTACCTGATTTCCAGTTGCTAAATATTAATAAAATTGTTTTGTTGTGTTATTTAAATACAGGATTCAAGTACCAAGACTTGTGATCTTAATGCAAATACTGATTCAGAGGTATCAGCGGATGGCAACATTAATGTTTCTGAGGAAGCTCTGGGTGTCCAAGTACCACGTCTAGATCTGAAGAATGTATCTGATGGTGACAAATGGGAAGGTAATTTTCACCCTTTAGCTCACAATATAGTTAGCTAATAATGATAAATAGAACATTTGACAAAGTAGAAGCAGCAGACAACTTACGCTTTTTTTTTCTTTAGTTCAATCGGAATAATATGTTCCTATACACATGGTAAGATCGACCAAGTTGTGCCATAGGTCCCATCTTGTTTCAGACTATCTGCAACTTAATTAAGGACCTTAAACTGTAAAGAAAAAATAGTCAAAGGAGCAGCTAAAGAAAGCAAAAAAGCCTGAGTTTCATACTACAAGTTTGGGGTTTTATTATGGTTTGGTTTTTTTTTTTTTTTTCCCCCTCTTTTTTCTTTTCTGAGAAGTGACTTATGGTTCCCAGGACCCGGAGTCTCTCATGCAAGTCCTTAAAAATGCTTTCTCTGATTATGTCATACAGTTACTATTCACACTGTGTCTTGGGGTGGTTTTTTCTTTTTTTTTTTAAATTTAAGCTACTGAAGTAACTGTAACACCAGTTACACTAGTAACACTAACTGAATTTGACTTAAAATCACTAAGCTACTAAACACAGCAATTTATATTTAATTTATTCTGAAAAATCTGTTGGTTGTTTTGTTTTAAACATCAGGAATGTCAGATGTTGGTTTCCGTGTCATTGGACAACTTGAAATAGCTCTAAATTTTCAAATAAAAGTTAAAGTTGCAGATGGATGTTATTTCTGTGCCACTTCTCCCTCCGTTGTTTGGAATTTAGGAAAAGCAAAAAGTTTGAAACATAGTTTTCTTGCAGACAGGATTCCTTATGTTTGTGACCTTATTCTTCATGGCCTTCCAGGTGTAGCAAGCCCCTAAGCTTGTGACTTTACTGACCTTTGTTGCTCAAATGTCTGGTAATAACTGCTTAGACTGTTTTACCTGTGTAAAAACATAACCCCTTTGTAACCAGAGCAAAACACTCTTGTCAATATCTTCTTTTCAAAGTACTTATCTTTTTATGTGTTCCTTATATCCTGTTTCCTCTGCCTAGTGTTGATATTTTGAATCATCACACCTTAAGAAATGCAAGTGATAATAGTTTGCTAAAGTACTGTGAACTGCCACCAACAGTACACTTGTTTCCAATTTTAAAGACTTGCAAATACAACTTGGCAGATACAGTACAGATTTACTACATAGGGATGAGGTTTTAACTTCTAACAGGCTGTTCCAGTGACAGCTACTCTTTGAGATGCCCATAAGTGTCACGGTGAAATGTTAGTAAGACACTGGTAACAAAGAATGACTGCGCTTAACTTCTGGTTGCTGCATTATAAATACTAAAATTAGTGAGGTATACCTGGGATGTATGTAGCTTAACAGTACAGCATATAGTTCTAATATGTCGGCACATAAAACTTTGTCCTGAAGCTCAAATGGCGATAACTTATTGTTAATTTGTCACCAGTGTTGACTGTTTGCCAAATTAATTGCCTTCATGAATGATACTTCCCTTTTAACCCTTTTACAAATGATGAGGTTTGCAACTTGCCATTGGCTTACTTAGATTTGTAAAATAGTTGCTAGTTGGCCTTCTTGAGCCTTAGCAAACTGTACATTCAGAGTACATCATGTCATATAGAAGTTGATTTGCAGGCATCTGAAGACACTGAGTCCAGATTTGTGTTCTTGTTGCCCAAGTTAATAACTTTAGAAAAAGTTAAAGAAAAAAAAAAATCCTGCTTATGTTCTCAGTGTTTTATTTACATTAATTGCTTACTTGCACTTTACATTTTGTTGCATCCTCTATTTGTGTTAATCTGATTTAATATGTATTCTCAGAAGGTTTGTGGCTTCCATTTTCATTATTTCCTTAAATCTGCTCATAAAATTTGCCTTGGTTTTACTTACCCAAATAGCTTTATGACTCTTACTTTGAAAAGAAAATAGCATATCTGTATATAAATTTATATTATAAGCTTCTTGGTAGTAAAATCATGATATTTTGCAAGAGGGGTTATTTCATTGCAAAGTGTTTTAACTCTGGCTATTCTTGAGTCCTTTTTAGAATGGTTATTAGGATCTCAGCCTTCCAAGGCACTGCAAGTCCTTGTGGCATTCCCTGAAGCAGATTGGCTTTGTAAAGAAATCTGTACTAGTCCAAATCTTGTATCAAGATTTGGGTTGTTAAAGCCTATGTGATAGAAAACTTAAGGGCCTGTAATCAACAGAGTTCTTGAAAATGAACGTTAGATGCTTGCTGGCTTAAGGCAAAAATGCAGATCAGTTAATCTGTATTTCTGAGTGTTTTCTCTGCATTTGTCCTGCTTTTTGGAAATCACCACCATCTCTATTTACAAGCTGTGAGCAAAAACGTATTTAGAACTTGTCTTTTGTTAATGTGAGGATGCGTGAGACTCTTATTAAATTATAATAAGTCTTTACTATTCCTGTGTCAGTTCTTTGTAAACCTTTTCAGTAAAAAGTTCAAATTCGCTAAGGACTGAGCATCCTTACCTGCCATTGAAATTGCTTGGAAGCTGAGAGTGCTCAGGGCCTGGCCCAAAAGATGGGATGTGTTCCCCTGGTACTGTATCTTCCTGCTTTACATGTTATGTATAGTTTGTTCTGACTGTGCTGTGTGTTCACTTTAGTATTTTTGCCATTCTTTTTCATTTTATTAGCGCCATGCCCTATCACTTTTCCCCTCATTGATTTCAAAACAATGCATCTGCAGAGAGAAGGGGAGGGTAAGTATGGTTCGCCATACGTTCAGTTATCTGCCTTTTGATAGTTTATGGTTTGCTTTCTAACTAACCCTTCACCTGCTGTCCCTTAATCTTGGGAATATTCTGATCTGCAATTTTTTTGTTTACTTTTTTCCTAAAAGGTCCCCTTCTTGTATCTTGTACTGTGTAAACAGGCAAGATCATAGCTTAAAAACAAAACAAAAAATCCCAATAATACTTAGTAAATGTATAATGGAAAGCAGGTACAAGGGTTATTTTTTTTAAAAATTACTTTGTGGGTTTTATTGTTGTTCTGCACACTTTGAACCCAGTTTTCAAATTTCTGATTTGAACTGGAAAATATAGGCAACTCTCTGAAAGGAAAAGGGGGGTGGGATTTTAAATTAAAGTGCTTGGAAGGCCATGTCAGCTTTTTGTTAGACAGCAAGAAAACCATATATGAGAATTGTAAGGGATGTTAGTAACTAACTTTTTATAGGGATTAAAAAAAATTGATTGTTTTGGAATCCCATGCCTAGAAGAAATCACCTTCCACAAATTAAGAAATCTCTTTTTCTCAGTGGTGTCAAGATGGATTTAAACTTAAAAACCCAGCAACACTCTCTTAAAAAGACTTAAGCAAATGGGTATTGTACCTAAAGAGGTATTGTCAGGCTTACCTTCTTCAAAACCAAGAGGATAATCTTTCAAAGTACATGCATAAGGTATGAAAATTAATTTCCACAGCAAAATATTGCAATGGACAATAAATATATTCTTCTAACTTCGGATTTCTGATACATAAATAAGGCTCTTTTGCACTGCTGAAATGTTCAGAAATGCATACTCTCAAGATACACTTTGAAAAAGGGATCCTAGTGTGCATACTTCATTTCAGTACCTTTTTCTTTCAATTGTTATTTGACAGAATTTGTAGCTTTCTGATGTATTTCGATGTTTTTATTCACTTTGTGTATGACACCACATCCTTTATAGCATACAAGACTAAGCATTGGGTACGCGTTTTTATTTCCTTTTGACTCTTGTTTATAATTCTGTTAACAGAAAAGTACCATTTTGTGTCCCTTTTCTATCTTCTAGATCCGTTTCCTGCTTTCAAATCTTGGCAGGAGGACAGTGAATCTGGAGAAGCTCAGCTTTCCCCGCAGGCTGGGAGGATGACTAATCATCCGTTGGAAGAGGATTGTCATCCGATATTGTCACATCGTAGTTTGGATTTTGGGCAAAGCCAGCGTTTCTTACATGATCCAGAAACGTTAGATTCTTCATCCAAAGCACTTTCTTTTGTTAGGTACGTATTTTAATGCAATTTGGTGGGTATGGGGACAGGAGATGTTACTGCCAGTATGAAAATACAGCTGTTTAAGAACCTCATGGGTTTTCATTATATAAATTAATTGAAGACCAAGGTCAAGTGTAGCATTATATGGCCATTTGGCTGTTTTGTCTGCCCAGGAACTGCCATGGTGAGTCAGACCAGAGGTTTGTCTGGGATGGTATCGTGTCTCTCAAAGTGGCCACTGGCGGAAAGAGTTTAAAAATAGGGCAAGCTCGCACAGATTTCCCTGGCATTTGGTCAGGGCTTCTGACAACCTGCTGTAATGGCACTTCCTGGGCTGAAGATAGTATTTATATCCTTTGTTTACCAGTCTTTACTGGACTTCTGGTCTATGATTTTAAGTAAGTTTTGGCTTTTTATTTTTTTTCAGTAGCATGAATATCTATTTTCATGTTGCATAATTTTGGATTTGTTTTGCGTAGCATGTTATCCACTCCCAGGAAAGAGAGCCAGGTTATAGAAACCATTGCATCTAAAGTCTGCAGTAACAGTCTGGGCAGCTTCTTTATTTGGGCTGTGGAAAGCCTTCATTCAGAAGGGCTATAGGGAAGCGTCAGCCGTTAAGAGGGAGAGGCATGGGAGAGCAGTACAGTGAAGAGGTAGGGTTCTTAATGCAGGTCTTCTCCTGCAGATTTAGAGGATCGAGCCCATTTAACCCAGTGTGTGAAAGCAGAGTTGTAACTAAACAAGCTGCAAGTTATTTGTGTGGCACTGGGGAGTGTGATGCTCCAAAACTGTAAATAACCTGTGACCTGTACTGTCTACTACTGTTACTATGAACGGGAATTTAAGAAGAATTTCCATGCTTGTTAGAGAGGAAATAATCTTGTCAAAATGAGAAAATCTGGAACAGGAAAGACCAAGTTGAGAATCTCCAATTCTCTGTCTGACATAGATTTATTGATGCAGAAGGTAGTTGACAAGTACTGTTAAAATGATGCAGAAGACTGACCTGCAGAAAAGTGCTGATTGTAATAGCTGTTCTCATCCTGAAACTAATCAGGATCTACACTAGTAGATTATTAGGTTAGTATTTCTAGTATCTCAGACGACGTAGATGTCGCTAGCTGCGTCGAGGGATCTTTCGGGCACCTTGTGTAATAAACATACTAGAAAATTCTCATGGTCAGTCTTGAAATAAAAAGGCTTTTCACAAGCAGCAAATGTCAAGGAGCTGAACAAGTGCAGAAGATGATTCAAAACTAGAATCACATACTCTAGAAATATATTAGTAAGGACAACAGATTAGGTGATGTAGATGTTTTTAGATAAGTATCTAATAACTTGCCTAAGACAGTTAAGTGGAGCTGTCTAATTACCAAGGATTGTTCAGTGGTAGGTTCTAGCCTAGGCTTTATTCTGTGCCCAATATTTCAAGAAGTACTGAGTATCTAAGATAAGTAGCCTAGCCACCAGAAAGATCTGAACTATTTTAATGACCATGTAATTAACAGTACCTTAGTTTATTAGGCTTGAATTTCAAATGTTGTTTTTCTGTTAGGGGTATTACTGAAATTAGAGAGGAAAAAATAACGCATCACATTTTGAAGGCAGCAGATCAAAGCATTTTGATTCAGTAAGTAAATAGCTCTGACTGAAAACCTAAGAAGAATGGATTATGAACTGGAGAAAAAAAAACCTGAAATAAGTAATCTGTTACTCAAATACAGAAGCTATTTGCACTTGTTTAATTATTTAAATGACACTTTAAAAATGTTTTTTATACAGAACACGAAGAGCATCCTTTAGCTCAAAAGATGACAAAAGGGAAGACAAGACACCTTATCAGCTTGTCAAAAAATTACAGAAAAAAATAAAGCAATTTGAGGAACAATTTGAAAAAGAGAAAAACAGTAAGGTAAGCTACCAGTTCTGCTTTTACTCAGGATAAATGACTGCACGGTACAGCTAAATTACTACTTGTAGTTCATCACTCAATAACTGTGGGTTCACAAATGAGCATAATTTTGTTATACGCTGCTGTCTGCAAAAGTGAACTGAGCAACAGCAGGACTGGAAAATGTGCCATAATGCCTGAGCCCAAAGAAGGGCAGGCAGTGACATTTATGCAGTGAGACTGAGGGGATATCAGATGAGATATGTGGAGAGACAGAAGCATCTTACCACTCTCTGGTTCAACTTGTGATGTCTTGTTTCAAGTTTATTTTCACAAGTATTGTCCCTTATGTTGGCACTGAGATCTAGTCTGGTGGCATCCATCTTACTAGTCACATTTGCTGTCATAAATACTACTAAGTCTTGCCAGAAGTCTTTACAAACAAGATTTTAGTGTGTTTCTTTTCATAAAATGTACTGTGTTTGTATTACTTTTCAGCCCTCCTATAGTGATATTGCAGCCAATCCAAAAGTTTTAAAATGGATGACTGAACTTACCAAATTGAGAAAGCAAATAAAAGGTAAGGGGTGTTACAGTTCCTGGTTTTCTACAAACACATTATCTACATGACTAAAATGGCTAAGTCATTCAGTAAAATTCCACAGGACCGTAAAAGTGTTTCATTTCTAGATTCTGTACTATTAAAAAATGAAAATAAAATTATTCTTGTGGCTTTGTTTTTAGTTCATTAGAAGAGAAACTTTGCCCATGCAAACTGTTATGTTCCTTTATTTGCAGTTGAACAGAGAGAGTTATTACTTTTAAACCTTTGGACTGAGCGATTTTTCTTATTTCAGATGCAAAGCAGAGGAGCTCAGATGGAGAATTCATACCTCAAACACGTCCACGAAGTAACACTCTTCCAAAAAGCTTTGGTTCCTCTCTTGACCAAGAGGATGAAGAAAATGGTGATGAGATGCGGGTTGTGCAGAAAGAGAAGAAGCCCACCAAGGAAGCTACACTTGAACTCATTTTGAAAAGATTAAAGGAAAAACGAGTTGAGAGATGTTTGCCAGAAGATATAAAAGTAAGCATAAGGTTATGGATAGGCTGTTTCTAAGAGAATAACAGAGGGAAATAGAGCACTGTCAGCCACTTCAGATACAACTTTATCGACAAAATGATGCCTCTATCTAGCAGCCCTTTACCAAGCATTCATATTTCAGACTCTGTGGGGAAATGATCAAGATGAACCACATTTTCCTTGCTCACTCTTTATTAGAATATTTACAAGTGCTGACAGTAATGGATGGCTCTAAATGGATGAAGGTGGGATGTATGGTATTAACCAAGCTAAGCTTGGCTAAGGCATCTGTATAGCTGATAATGTAGAAAAACTGTTAAAATGACTTGTGTTTGATTAAATGTGAATTATTCTTCTGACAGAAAATGACAAAAGACCATTTGGTAGAAGAGAAAACATCTCTCCAGAAAAGCCTCCTGTATTATGAAAGTCAACATGGACGGCCGGTAATACTTGGTTTACTTCATCAAACTATATTCATGTATGCACAGACAACAGTAACTCTTGTGCAGTAGTAAAACCAGAACTTGATGCTGGTGTGGGTTTTTTTTTTTCTTCTCCAAAACAGAGTTATCTATTGGTTTCCATCTTGTCATCAGAGGAAGTTATTACGTTGACTTCTATAAAAAATTTATGTATTGATAGGTCCATTTTCCACTGATCAGCAGGTTATTGGAGTTTACAAAGTGATTGGTGTTGTTAGGTACCTTGTATGTCTGTGAAGCAAAGAGAAATCTTAAAAATAAACAACGCTCTTGAATTTCCTGGGAAAAGGCCTGAAATAATGTTCTGGATTTCACAAAAGCAGAAATGAAAAGACACTTTTTTCTTTTTTTTTCCTTTTTTTTTCCTTTTTTTTAAGTTTGTGGCATGTATCTTAAATAAGTGGAGATACAGAAGTTAGACTGAGTGACTAGCAATTAGTGCCTGAAGTTCTGTTCTGGATTTGTATCTTGGACGGTGATCAGCATCACTAGTCCAATCACAAGATCTTTCTAGTTACTATTCCATCAGCCTTGTGGTCTTGGCACACTAGCTTTATAATCAGCGCTGCCGTGTAAGTCTGACCAAGCCTTTCAGTCTAAAAGCCAAGGAAGAATTATGGCCTTGGAGATACTGGCACTGGTTCTGCAATCCCCTGAGGGAGAAAATGCCAGTAACTGTTCAGGATAGCCTTTAAGATCTTAAGAGTACACAGTGGCCAAGAATTGAGACTAAATCAGATATCGGATAAAATCTCTCTACAGTTTCATCTTTCTTTTTTCCCCTGTCATTTCTGTAGAATCATCTTCATTGCTAGGCACAGCCTTCTCCCCCAGTTCTTGGTCCCTTTTTCCCTCTTTTCCATGGGTCTTTAAAGATAGAGGGTTTGCTTCTACTGAAGCTCCCCTAACTTCTAGGAAGTCTTTAAAACTTCTTCCTGAAAAATATAGGGAGTTAAAGTGAGAAAAGAGAGGAGGAAAAGCACCCACTTATTCCCCTTTATCTGCATAAACCCCATTTCATACACACAGTTTAAACTAGTTTTATGTTCCTAATTGGAATGTATGTGGCCTGGCATGAGAAGCATACCGCTTTGTGTTTGCTTGTATATTATTGAGTGACTGGTATAATTAATTCTGTGGTTTCTCTGCCTTTAGGTTACTAGAGAAGAAAGACATATTGTGAAGCCACTTTATGACAGATACAGACTTGTAAAACAAATGTTAACTAGAGCAAGCATTACTCCTATTCTTGTGAGTAAAATAAATGCTATTTCTATTTTTTTTCCACTGTTGAACTGCTAGGCTGCCTTTAGAAGAGCTAGTAAAACTGTTCCATAAAATACATCTTTCTTGTGGAAGATACAAGATGTTGTTGTCATTGTATTTGAGGCATTTGATTTACTGCTGAGAGCAGAGCAGTTCAAAGCTGTCTGTGACCTTGATGGCTCTTGGGAAGTAAATGGTTCCCGGTGGAAGTAAATAAGCGGTTCTAGCTTGCCGTGGCTGAAACGTTCCCAAGTCACTGTGTTAGGTATGGATCCACAGCACATGTTGTACTTCTAGTCCTCCCAAGAATAGTAACACCAGTTTCAGTGAAGCTTGCCTCTCTTCTGTGCTGCAGGTTACTGTCACCAGAGGTTTGAGTGATAGGATGGCCGTAAGAACCATTGCATTCCTTCACGCTTCCCCAGTGTGAGACACGTTACCAATGCCTGCAGCGTCTGTGCAACATCTGTGCTTTTTCATTGTGTTTTCACTTCATTTCCTTCTAACTTGCAGTGCTTTCTAGTCTTTTCTTTCCTCTCTCGGTGGTCTTGTAAGAGATGAGGAAGAAAAGTTTTCATACCGTGCAAGGATGTAACCTTGTTTATAGTACCTGGAAAACAGTTGTGGAATGACAACCAGCTGGCTGTCTTTGCTCTTCAAAATCTTGCATGCTGACTCAGACTTGCAACAAAACAGTTTTAGTATTAGCTACTTGACCCTTCTAGAAGGAAGGGACTGCATAGCTGATGAGAGATAACCTGTTTACATGCAGACAGTTCTCTACCACATCTACATAGCTGGGCAGTGGCTTACTCAGCAGCAACTTAATCAGTTGTTTATGTTGACTCTGACTGTCCTCAGCTATCCCCTTTAAGCTGAGGTACGTTGAGATAAAGGGACCAGTTCAAGATCATTCCTTTCTTGCACATACATTTTTGGGTAGCTGCTTTTATAGAAGAATGTTACTGGCATTGTGGTCACATTTCAAGTTTAGGGGCAACTTGATGGCTTTGATGTGAGTATCCCATTCTGAACTCCATAAACACGGGTTGCTCTTAAATGCCTAAGCATTCCTCTGTGACTGGTGAGCCATAGGTTATTGGTGGTGCCCTTGATTAGTTGAGTTTTAATCCATCTCTCACCTCAAAAATCTGACTCTTCAGCTGAGATATTGGATGGGGCTTTGAGCAACCTGATCTAGTTGAAGATGTCCCTGCTCATTGCAGGGGGGGTTGGACTAGATGACCCTTAAAGGTCTCTTCCCACCCAAACTATTCTGTGATTCTGTGACTGTCAGTAGCCTTATGACTATATCATAGTTGCTCTTTTTTTTGGCTGTGAAATAAAGGGATGGGTAATAGCCAACCAAAAGGATTTTATATTCAGAAGAGATCTTGGAAACATAATTCCTAATCCGTTTTGCAGACAATACCTGTAAAATATTTTTCACAGGCCTCTGCTTTTGAAACCTGCAAGACAGATAAGTGGAGCTCTCTAATAACCAAGTATTGTTGAGTAGTAGCTTCTAGGTAGGACATACTCAGTGCCAGGTATTTCGAGAATTGTTTTATGGTTTATACGACACTTGCTTCCATGAGATCTTTCTGATGGCATCACGGTATACTAATTGCATACTCTGAAGCCTGTATGGAAATGCCCAAAGAAGCAGGAAAATATTTACTTTTCATTAAAGTTTTTTGACAGGTCATCGTCTGTGTGGCTTTTGTGTTCCACCTTTCTCCTGTTCAAAGAGTCCATCTGTTAAAATTGCTTATGCCATCCAGGGATAACGGATGAGCAGGGCATAATTGCATGTGTGCAGCAGGCAGCTAGCAGCAATTCCGGTACAGCACAGTGGCACCTCTTTAGGCTGAAGTTCAAAGGATCTCGACACTGAGGTGGCAAGAGATAACTCTTACATAGCTCTTGCAGTTGTGGGCCTTCAGAGTAGTCTAGAAAAAGAAACTGGCAGTGTTATTCCCAGTGTATGTCTGGCAGAAGATAAAAAAAGATGGCTCTGGCCTTGTGTAACTTTATAATCTCCCTGTGGTTTGGTTTGGGAGGAACGAGAGTAAATAGGAAATTCAGAGATATCATCACGCTTTATGAACTTTCTACAGAACATGGAGAGAGCGAGTGCTTTTTATTTTCAGTCCGAAGAAGAATATTTTCACGTGAATTTATAAGCTACAACATTTACTTCTATGACAAGGATGCTTTGGGCATCTGAGCTTTTTGGGTTATATGATTATTTTGTTTGTGCTCTGTGAGTATGTTTGCAGTCTTTTATTTTTCTGGAAGAAGAAATACCTTTAGGTATTAGGCACCTTCAACAAAATCCTGACCGCACACAGCATTTAATGTCTAATTGCATATAATGAAACAAATTTAAAATATTGCAGGGTTCCCCATCAACCAAGAGGCGGGGGCAGATGTTACAGCCCATTATTGAAGGTGAAACGGCCCATTTTTTTGAAGAAATTAAGGTATGTACAGTGCATTTAAAAAAACAAAACAAAACACAACTTCCCAGCATTTGTAATAGGGAACTGAAATATTTCACATTTGTTTTGAATTTCTGCTTTGACTTTCAGGAAGAAGAGGAGGAAAGTGATGGTTTGTCTGCAGACCTGAATGATATCTTAAAAACTGCTGTCCAAACACAGTCTGTTTTAAGCCCAGTTGAAAACTCCGAGTCTGATGTTGAAGATGGTCAAGAGAAACTGACCCGGGACCTTAGGCTGTCAAGCACCCGCGCTGCTTCTATGTATGTAAAAATAAGAAGAGACTAATTCTAGTATAGAAGTTGCAATTATTGCACTTAGAGTCACGATGCCAAATAGATGATGTTGGGTAGAAGGGAGTGGCATGTTCAGCATTTCTCAGGAAGCGTTTGGCTTGAATGAGCCTTCTTTCCTCTGACGTGCCTGACCTACGATCTTTTTGTATTCAGTGACTTGTTAGTGTCTTCTAAACCTTCTTCAGCCTTACTTGAGCTGTGTAGACAGCAGAAAATTTTATACCCTTTTATTAACTACTAGTTTGTTCTCACTATTCCACCATCAGACAGATAGCATATTCCTTATGAGCAAGACAGATTTATCATTAGTGCAGCTAGCTCAGTTGTTTTTGCGTATGCTTTGAAGAATTCAAATTTAATTATATGGCCAACAGTATTTTTCTTTCACTTGAAACTTTTAGGCCTGAATTATTGGAGCAACTGTGGAAAGCCAGAGCTGAAAAAAAGAAGCTACGTAAGACATTACGAGAATTTGAAGAGGAGTTTTATCAGCAGAATGGAAGGTTTGTTTAGCACAAAACCAGATGCTGGACAGCAGCCTCATTTTGTAGCCAAGTATTTTTTCAACTTTCTATGTGAATGTTGCCAAATGGAATCTCATCTGGTTTAGTCTCTCTTATTAATATTCTCCTGAAGGAGATAGCATTCTTGTGTATTTTTAATAGCAGAGGAAGCCTGCTCTTGAGTTTTGTTTCCTCTACTACAGCCTGTAAAGCATAATAATGAAAGTGGAAGAAGTGAGTTTTTTATTAAAAAAAAATAACATTTTAAAATAACTGTTCTAATAAGTATTTTTTATA